TTGTATTATTATAATTAATATTACTACTTTTAATTAATAGAATTATCATTTTGAATTTCGTTTTTAGTTAGATATTAGGATAGTACAGAATGCTGGTAGGAAGATATAAGAGGTACTTCTGTTATACTTTAATACGAGATAAGTTTGTCGAATTATTTAATGCTTCATTTGTCGAATAAATTTATTTTTTAGGCTTAATAATGCAATAATCGACTCAAACTGGAATATTGTTCATCTGTGTGAAAAAAAATCTAATATGGATACTTAATACAATATTTTTATAATTAATCGTAATTAATTAACAAAAATTTATGAGATCAATATATCAGTAAGAAATCAAAATTTCCACTTTCAGACAGAAATATATTCTAACTACCTGCATACTTAAAATTTGTTTACCTGTGAGAAATTACATCTGATATAGGTATTTAATATAATTTTCCTGCAGTTAATCATAATTAATAATTAATCATAATTTACTAATCATAATTAACAATTTATTTTTTTTTAAAACCAGGCAGTAATACTATAATGTGATAGTGCAATGATAAAGCACTTACTATAATAATAAGTAAAAGAAATAAGCCATAGAAGGTACAAATAGATGTTTACATTCTACGTCTTCTTTTTCATCTTACAGAAACAATTCTGTATCTGAAAGGAAAATCTCCAGAATCCAAATTCATCATCAGTCAAGAGCTCGGTAAATCGTTGCAGCCGATTTCGAATGGAAGTATTCCTCGCTCGATGAATTATTAATAAGACGGAAAATGTTAAGAAACGAAAAGGAAAATGGGAGGAGAAGAATGTCGAACTAGGTGGAATAAATGATAATTAGTCGATCTCGAAGCCTATATTCTGGCCGTTTGGTCTGTCTGCGAAAGCTTACGACTCTATTCCCAAATACATATTCATTGAACCGATCCATGTGTATATTCTACATAGATATACCATGGAGTCAGCTTCGTGGAGGGTCGGACGAATAGCGTCATACGGCGCTCTCATAAATTACCACTAGTTGTCGGATAACATGTTATTTGCCACCGAGCTCACAAATGAGTGCACTTTGTATTTAATTACTCGACTCACGCCCAGGGCGCATCCTCATGGCGGACCTACCTCAGATCATTTTTACCGCAGGAATATCCCTTCTGTTGCTCCATTTTTCCTTTCTCACACTTTCTTTTTTTTCCACCCCTTCACGTGCTACCTCGTCCAAGCTTCATCTTGTTTTTCTATTTTTCTTCTCCTCCTTTTACCCCTTCTGAACGTGTGATTGATCTTATCGATTAATAATAAAGTTCTTCGCTCGTCACAGCTGTTCAGACCAGACTTATTTAATAATTGCATCAATTGCTTATTATTTACTTCGGAATTTGTTTTATTTATTAAAAATACCTTCCGATCTTCTCAATTAATTCATTGTATCTGAAAATTTGTTTGCTATTCGAGAATAAGAACTTGAAGATATTTTATTAGAAAGTGAATGAGATTCTTTTTATAGCAATATAAAATGAAATGAAAAATTTGTGAAAAATGATTTTATCGTTTCGAGTTGTATTCGTTTATATTAAAATCAAATCCAGTCGTTTTTAGCAAGATAGCAGGAGAATGTATCTTTTTGTCGCAATTATTTCTTTAATTTATTATATGTTTCAAGGACAAGATTTTTAATATATCAAAGTGAGACAGGTAGACTATTTTTGATGTATCATTGCATTACTTCAAGAATATTCGGTGTTAATCATTATAATTTTGCTATGTGGCGACTGAAAGTTGCCAAAAGGGTTAATTTGTCCTTTTCCTTTGTTCTTAGCAGAGTAAGGGTTAGTTAGATGTTATTTATTTAGGAGATCTCTTTATCCGTTTTTGGCTTGAGCGAGGCTAATTAATACGAAAATCGAAAATTCTTTAGCAAGGTTTTGACAAGCAAAGACAGGATGAGTGGGTTGAACTGGTGCACCGACGGGGTGAGCAGGTAAGCAAAAAAGGTGAAAACAAAAGGCAGAAGGTAGAGGTAATGCTGTTGGTGAATAGAGAAAGGATAGACACAGACAAGCGTACATTTCGTAGCCCTAATTATTGGTTCCGTCCCAGTTCCGCTCTGGAACAAGAAGATAATAGATGGAAGCAATCAATTTTTAAATTACATCCCAATCCAACGGGGGAATATTCTCGCGTGAAAATGGCGAAAGTATTTAGATGTGCAAAAATGTATCCTGTACGAGTATTAATTATGCTCACTCAATTTTAATTCTACGTATTCGCCTTAATAATCCGTTACAGTCATGTTGAAACACCTAATGGACGTCAGAAGCTTATAAAATTACCAAATAATTATACGGATAAATTATTCCCATCTTTTCTTCCTACCTTGACCTCTTCTTCTTATATAATGAAGTCATATTATAATTATTATTGTTAAAAACTAAGATTATCGATAGCATGGATTACGATAATTTATTCGTACAAAAATTGATATTAAATTTTGCAAAATCTACTGCACATTTTTAATAATTAGAAAAATAATATATTTAGAACCAGTCATTTTGGATAATTTGATAGTTCTAAATAGTAGTGGAGATTCAATACTCGCATGATCAATGTGCGAGGTCGTGATTTCTTTAAAATTCTCTATTTAATGAATATTGTTAGACAGTCTTTTTCTATTTTTTATAATATTATATAATTTAATTATGATGGAAAGAGATGACCTCGGGCTTAACCAATGGTGTGAATTTAGATTTTGAAGAAACAATGTTTTGCCAATAATATTTTTATAATAATATAATTTTTTAAAACAGTATAATATAATTTTTAAACAATTTTTTAAGAAAGTATAAATTCACTCCATTAGTTAAGCCTGAGGTCATCTTCTTCCGTCAAATCTTTCATATCAAAAAATTCTCTTTTATGTATCAATTGGATTGCAAAGTATACAATTTACGTACTTACAAAAAGATATGAAACAGGCGCAAATTTGAAGTCTCCAGGAAAACTGATACAAAACGTTAATAAGAAGAACCGATGCTCTTAGCAAATTATTATATACGATGTTAGTTTTATTCAACAACCCTTAATATAACTTTCTGCAAGTGTCCATTTACTTTTTCTTTAATATATCCTTACGTACGTGTGGTTACATATTAATTGGCGTTCTCAAGGAAGAAACGTTACGGAAGTAATGGAAGACAATGTTTCCCGTTACGAAAAGTCGAGGACTCGGCTATCACGCGGTTGTTCCTGGTTAAAAGTACTAAAGGTACGAAAAGTACTAAAGGTTTTCGAGCAGAGGATTATCGTGTCGCTACTTAGGAAGAATTTTAAGGCAATGGCGGGACGATCCCGAAATCCAAGACGGCTGTGTCCGAAGGGAATGACAGAGATCGGGTTGCTTCGGACCACCTTCGTGCTCGCCGCAAACTTTATCCTACCTGTTTTCGCTAATTGAGCGAGTAAAAATGTAACTGGACCTTACGCCCCTGAGGTATTTGCACCCTTTTGAAGATACGATCCGTTCTTTTCCCAAGGTTTTGCGCTGGACCGCGTTCCTCATTCCACAATCGCTTCGCCCGATCGGTTTACTCGTTGAGATTGCTTAAGCGTGTACTTCGAATTACAATTATTTATTTAAATAACCTAATATCTCTCCGATTTATCTTCATTTACACTTACATAAGTATCTCTCATTTGATTTCATTTCATACCTTCCCATTTATCTCTATGTTTCATGAAAATGTGCTTGTTATCAAAAGTTGCAGATGAGTCTCGAAACTGTATTCAAATTGTACGTAGACGAAACACGTGACTTAATAATTAGATGTAACATAGATAACAAGTAAAGTTGAATTTCTAATTAACCGAAGAACTTGTTACATTTTGCTCAAGTTTCTGATTCGAAGTGATATTGTATAAATAATAGAATTATCAAATATTTCTTGCTTATGATGTATTATATATTTTATTCATACAATTCAATATAATATAATTATTTATTAATTATTGCAGAAATTTATTGGTATATAATTTTATATATTGCAAGAAATATTATTTATTATTATATAATAAATCTGCTAATTTCTAACTAGCTAAGGAACATTAGGTACATCTTACTCCATTTTGATGTTACAATACAAATAATAGAATTATTATAGTACATCTTCTCTATAAAATTGGATATAATAATACAATGTAACAAGAAAAATTTAAATCATTATAAAATTCCACTATGTAATTATACAAATAATAAGATATACTTTGCATCTTCGATACCACACTCAATGCTTCAATAAATTATCAGCGAAAGTATCTCGATAACAGGTAGCCCCGGTGCATCGAGATCAAAGCAACTTTCGTGTTTACCGTAGATCGTAAGTAGACGGTATAAGCATACGCGATATGCATTCAATAGAATCCCGTATATATTTGCGTCCATATGTATTAATACATACATATGTCACCGAGGGGCCAGGTAATGGTTGTGCGATTTTATACATGATCGTATAGGATGGAGGCGCCGATGCCACCTGTTGTGCTAGCCGTTCGCATACTCGGGGCTGGTCGGCTTTGGCTCACCGCAGAAGTGGTGGGAGTCAGCGCGAGGTTTTCATTGGTCGGGCGGCACGTGCTGCACGAGGGTGCCTCGCTCCAAAAACGCATAAATCCCCCGACGGTGTACCAACCGACTTTAGAATCACCCCGACAGCGAGTCGGCGTGCGTGTATAGGACCTCGAGGAGACCTCATCCTTCTGCGTTCTCCATCCGAACCCAAGGAACCTGGACACGTAACGAATTAAACGGAACGAGCAACAACCGACATAATATCATCGTGGTCTACACACCAAGGTCCGACAAGTTGTTCGCCAACTGTGGTTCCGTGAAAGTACAGTGGAAATTCAGTGAAGAGACGACCGTAGACGAAGAACCCACCACTTCTACCTGGGTTACCGAGTGAAGCTTCCACTCACGTATCCCGTGTCTCGATCATCCGGGAACGGACATGGAATTGCAGGAGATGTTTCGTTACGGATACATGTTCCCACCCAGAGAAGACGAAGTCGTGTCCTGCACGTACCTGGATTTACCCAGCTACCCCTATTCGAAGAGCAAATCCGACCTGCCACCAGTAAGCACTATCACCATACCCCAGTGCATCGTGTACGACGGGAACCGCAGCGATGGCTGGCACACGCCTAGCCCAACAGCTAGCTTGCGATCTGTCAGCCCAGCCACAACTTTATCTATATCATCCGAGCCTGACACGATCAGCACTCCAGTTACCTATCGTTTGTTAGGCTCGATGGACGAACTGAACAAGAGGTACACCGGTAAAAGGAGCCTGACAACGATCAACAGCGAGGCAACCCAACACGCTATGAACATGATAGACCTGACAGAGGAAGTGAACAGTATGGACGCAGATACCGATGGAACGATCGACGCAGAGGTTGAGACTGAGCACGAGAAGGCGCAGTCGTCCAGAGGTAGTGTCATCAGCAATGCCAGCAGCTTCTCGGACAGGATCGTGGACGGTGACAGCGAGGATGACGCCGAGATGAGCGACAGTCCCGATCACATTGGGTCAGGGATCGATGGGTCGGGAAGCAATCGTAACGTCGTCAGACGGAGAGGTAAATACGTTAGCTCGACGATCGTGAGGAAAAGAAGACTGGCGGCCAACGCGAGGGAACGACGAAGAATGCAGAACCTGAACAAGGCGTTCGATAGATTGAGGGCCTATCTTCCGTCTTTGGGTAACGACAGGCAGCTCTCCAAGTACGAGACCCTTCAAATGGCGCAGTCTTACATCACGGCTTTGTACGATCTGTTGCAATAATGATATCCTGTGTCTTTTCTCGTCTTCTCAACGAACTAGTATATCAGTCGTCGCAAATGGGAGTGTTAGTGGAATTCTTGAGGCTGGGGTAGTTGAATTTTCATCTTCTGTGCATAGAGACGTACCTAGACGAGGTGCAGGGATCGTGTTTGAAACGAACGATTCGCTTTGTACTTTATTGTTGATGTTGAAAATTGTAATTACCATTGTAATTAGAATCTCGTCTCGGTAAGGTTACTCTTAGGCTATGTACCATTCCACTTGCCTATCTTTTGTAAAACGATATCGGGCATCTTATGGTTATCCATTATTATTATCATTTCTATTACTATTTATCGCGACTGCAAGGAGAGGATCTAGACAAGCATCTCGAAAATCATTGTACATACTAGGGACATTGTAAATTTTGTAAAGTAACGATATTTTAATGCATAGATCTTTAACACGGCGTTGTATCATAAATGGCGGACCAAGTCAGGTACTTATAATTTATTGTATTATAAATATTAATGCGCTCTTTGAGACTGAAATGTCATGTGTTGGACAAATATAATTATTTTATAAACTCTCGAGCTTTCCAAAAATATCCCACCCTGTGTTTCACCAGGGAGAAGTCTTACGACTCGAAGTCTTATAAGAGGACGTCGGATGTTTAGCCTAAACTTTAAGAAGACTCCAGTCCCCCGTCTAACACGTAGTGGGGAACTTGTTGCGCTTTCACGGACGTCCTGTTCCTCTTTTTCCTTTTCTTCTTTCTCCTTTTCTCCGTTTTAGGCTGTCTTCCGTCTTAGATTTCGCGGAGTCGCGTGTCGAAGTGAAAAAATTAGCTCGTAATTGTTCGCTAACGGGTTTACAGTTTGCACTAGATACAAGGTTGTATCATAAGGGATGAAGAGTATATTCGGGGCGAAAGAAAAACAGCATCGTCATCGGTGGTCTGGTCGTCATACGAAACCCACGCGACGCGTCGGTGCCCGGTTTCATTGCAATTTGAGAACCTGCAGCCTCCTTTCTTTGACGATGACTCCTCTTTCTTTCTCCTTCTTTTCACTCTTTTCACCTTCGATTCGGAGCTATCGCCAGTGGAACCACTTACTCCATTTCCTTTAGATCATTGTCTTATATCGGGCAAATTTGGGTATTATGAGGTTTAGCGATATGTTGGCTTCAGGAACGAGAGATCTTTGGTGTACCCTTAATAGGAGGAAGTCGAAAAAATTGTCTTTGAAGAGATTAAAAATAATTTTCGGGGAAAAATTGTATTTATCGCCGGAAGTATCGAAATAACCAAGACGGCGACTTTGGATCTTCTATATCTGCATTTATTGGAAATGTAGAGTCTCTTGGAAAAATCAATTTTAATTTCCGTTTCGGTAGAAAGATAATTATAAATATATTTATTGAGTTTCATTATTTTTGTTTAATTATTATTTATGTATACTACATATGTTTAGATAATTAAAAGTCGTTGATATAGGTATGAGGAAAAATTATTCGCCATCTTGTGGATGAAGAGGTTAAGTATATTTTTTAATTAATAACTATAATTATTTGTTAGATCTTCCAAAAATTTTACTTAAGGATTAAAATGATATTACTATACTTATTAGGGCTATTATGAATTCCGTTAAGAGTTAGGTATTTAGATTTTTATTGAAATGATTTAATTAATTCGTATGAATTAGTATAATATTAGAACAACGATTACTTGCAATTATTTAGTCTTTAAATAAATTTTTGAACATCTAAATATATAAAATATTGCAATATATTTAAGTATATATTTAGGAAAATATCAGTATCGATACAAATTTTGTCTTTTGTCTGTCCTCGGCATCAAACAAGCTATCATTAGCATGATTAACGAAAAAGAAGAAGAAAACATAACACCATCCTGGTGATTAGCACTATTTGGGATAGAATAAACGTTCGACATGCAATTTTTCACGCGAACCCTTATTGCACGGAAAGTGCAAAATTTGTCGATGATGAGTATACAAACAACCCCGTATCTTTTTACATAAAAAGTAGAAAGATACACGGAACAGTAGAAAAATACACTGCGCTTGGAAGAACCCTAATATAACGCTTCTATTGTCTAATAGCCTTTTTTCGTTAACATCTTCTATTCTTCACGCCATATTAGAATTAAAGAACATAAACGTAGATATTTACGTTCCATATTACAAAATTACTGGATGCTATTAAAATTAGTTAAAAAATCGCTGTATTTTCTGTAATTCACACAGACATTTTATGGATAGAGTACCACTGCAGGTTAATCGATTTATTATTTTTTTAAATTAAATAATATATAAATTCTTATTTCTGGATCCATATTTCTATGGAAATGATAAAAAAAATATCGCAAGTAGTGGATGTCAAAAATAGTTGCATAAATATTCCTCAAATATTTCAGGAAACGATTTTTCTAGCCTAGTCTTATTATGTTTCATTGCTACAATACTGTCAAATAAAATGATATTTAACATACTTAAATTTACTGAAAATTGATGTCTAATATATCTAGATTTAGTCAAAAATTAAGTTTAATGTATTTAAATTAGTCTCTCGACTAGTATCTTAAACATACTAAAAATTTAAGTCCTATATATTTAAATTTAATAAATAAGCTACAATTTAATATATTAGAATACAACGAGTAACCTAAAATTTAACCTACTAGTACCTACTAGTATCTACTCGATCAACGATTAACTACCAAAATAGTTACAGTGACGTACAAAAATCCCCTTGGTACCCGCTCCAGGCATTCAACGTAATACACTCGCAGAAACGAACGACATCATTAAGCCCGTTCAAGAGACTCCGATTGCAAAACGATTGAATTATTGAACGATAGCTCGACACAAGTATTCCTCGTCCATAAGAATCCCAATGGCAGTCGCGTGGCTATGTTGACTTCCCTCGTGAGCCTCTTCTCCTACACGTTCCCATACCTGGGACCAAGAAGACTCATACTCCCTGAGAAGGGCCAGGGGAATCTTCGCGAACTTGATAAAAATCGCGCGACATCTTCCTCGACCGGTCCGGAGTTGGGGTATCTCAACCAGGCCTTTATAAAAAAAGGAACTAAAAAAAAAAAAAAAAAAAAAAAAAAAAAAAAAAATGAAAAATGAAAAAGGAAGAAAAATGAAGTTCAGGAATAAAAGAAAGGAAGGAATCTCTTAGACGAGAGAACGTAAATATTGTTCAAAGCAATTAATTCTCCGGCAGACTACCACCTTCGCTTTGTCAGAAGGGTTCGCCTTGACAAAGAAGAGGAAGCTGGGTCCCGCCAGCAGTGACCAGTGGCCACTGTCATCAAAATACTCGAAGGGGTTGGGTGGCTGTGGCTGAAAGCGGGAAAGGGAAAGGGTAAAACGGAGGATAAAAGACAAACGCCGCCGCGTTGTCGTTGTCTGATCGTGGAGATTGCTTTATTTGAGTACATTTAGCGTAGAGATCTCGAGAAACCCTGCCGAATATTTTGTCGTGCCTGCTACCGCATGCAGCCTCTCATCCTTGCCTGGCTACCCGGCCAGAGGCGTAACGCATTAAGCATCAAAATAATGTAATCTGCCGGCTGAAATCAGGCGATAAATATAATCGAACGGCTGAAATTTGTCGGTGACGAGCATACTTGGCTACATCCGACGCACCTGTGTATGTCTTCGTACGAAGATTGATCATGGGCAGTTGAATGAATATATATGTACAGTGGGTAGGGTAGAAGGTGGGAATATGGATCAGGGTTGTAACGTTGATTTCCCCTTTTTACGGATTCGAACATTGCAATCATTAGTGGCCTCTGATTATTCTGATAACCGAACAAAAATTATACTATTCGCGTTTATTTTCTAGCTACAAAGTGCAAATTGCTTTTAGCTATCTGGAAACCTTTGCGAGATAAGCTTCGTTAATTTTGTTCTCGTATTAAGAAAAATTGACAAGGGTGTTTCCTTATTTATAGAGGTATAATCGTGTGTTTAATTGATTTTAACGTAAATAAAATATTTTGTGCTCCGAATTAGGGCTCGAGTCGATTGTCTTGCACGTTTGTTAAAATTGGAGTTTGTTTATATTTAATAAGGTTGTTATTTAAGCGTTGGACTGCAAGGATGAGTCAGGTTCGGAGATATAGACTCGTGGCTGTTTATGGCATTCGCTGTACCGAAATTATTTCGTGTATAAACTGTATAAACTGGTGCACGTAAATCAATCGGGTTCCCATCAACTGGTTCGTGTGACAAACTCGTGCAATTCAGTCCATACGTTCAATGTAGAAGTTGCAGATGCATGATTTATTCAGGAGATCGGCCTGCTTCGCCAGGCTAAATCAAAATATTCATTGGCTTGAAATGAGAGATGAAGCTGAATACATGAATTTGTGAAGCAAATGGAAAGGAAGAGACAAGCAGCGGGCAGGACGAACAATCAAATTTGTTGAAGACGATAGAAAAAAATTTCCTAAGTTTGCAAATATACTCGGTTATTAATTACGATTAATCATCGTTTTTAACACTACTTTATACATCTCTTTGTATCTTTTATAAAAAGAACTATCTCAAATTAATTTGCAATGTTTTTTAATCAATCCTTCGATTAGATCAAAAATGGCGTACATCGATCAAAGAATCCCAATTTTCCACTCGTTTCATTGTTCCTCCAAAACAATAGTTTGATCTAAAAGCAATATGTTTTACAAATGACATAAATTAAATGAAATAAATTCAACGTTAAAGAAATTACCGAACATTTTTGCCGTTCTTCCAGTTTCAGGCGGAAATTTGTCAACAATGAGCTGGTTTGTTCGATAAAAGGGATCACGGTGAAGCTTCTTTCGTGTATTCTTCGAAGGTGTCGATACAGAGTATCTTTTTAATGTTTCGAATCTTGGTGCGTGCTCTCGCGAATGCTTCCGGATTATAAACGCAGGTAGAAGGTGTGGTCGATCCTGCTGGATGCAACGAAAAACACGACCGCCCATTGTGAGGGAT